GGGGGGGGGGGGGGTATCATATATCTAACTAGCAACAAATTCTCATTATTTGTGCATGGTTACTGTGCATGTTATGCTAGCCAAGGGAAAAGGAAGGGCTAAGCTTCAAGGTAATCAAACAGTTAAGTTCTCAAGAACCTGTTGAATGATTGCTTGTCAATGTCCTCAAAGTAATATGCAGGAATTTCTGAGGGAGAAGATAACTCGGCCACACACTTGAACTGAAAAATGAAAAGATTTATCATTAAATATTATTCGAAGATGAACTATAAAAACAAAAGCTTCTAAGTTTATCTTTTTTTCTTTACAAGAGATGAATGTTGGCTTCGTTTATGTAAAACCAGAGAAATTTGGATTAATACCCATATCAAATTGCTAATAAAATCAAAACAATCCTACAAGTTACAACAATAATACGATACTTTGGGTATAAGCCTTGATTAATTTAATTTTAAAAGATGGTGCCCCTGACTAATATACATATGCACTCACCACGTTAGTTTAATCTTTTCAGTTTCCTATCAGTGTATACGTTTCAACTCAAAAGAATAAGCAAAATAAATAAATGTATACACATTACCTTATGCTGCTTATACTTGGTTCTTATTGCTTGTAATGAGCTTCCTTTTCTATTTAATTGCAAGCGATGAATGGCAAGAATGCATTCCTTCAGTTCAGATGGTCTGTAACCGGAGTAATGTTGCAGCGCTAAACACTGCAAAATGTGGTCAAGCAACAAAGATTGTCATCGCTTGAAAAGCATAATATCATATTTATGACGAAGTTGGCAAGAAACATTGTCAAACTATATTCATAAATGGGTTATTAAACAAGCTACGAACATATCTCTTACCCAAGGATGTTTATCTGGTTGAATTGTGAATCTAGAAAGAAAAATAGCTGATGCAGCGACCATTGATGGTAAGAACTGTGCAAAACGGTGATCTAACAAACTTAGCTCCGCAAGGTAACAACTCAAAAACTCGAATTGCAAGTCTGGAGCCTTCCAATTTTCCAAAGAAACTTGTGTGAATATTCTGTAGGAAGGCAACAATGAGTTAACCGCATATAGAGAAAAGAAGAAATATGTGTTTTTAGGTACTAAATATAAGATAGTTGAAGAGCATTCTTGCCTGAGAAAATTTTTTATGGTGGGGGCACCTTCACAGCTCAAGAATTTGCGTACTTCTCTCTCCATACTCAATACCTATAGATTAAACAAAACCAGATAACACACTTCGTCAGTTATCATGGCCTTCCAACTCACCTATTAGTTGCATGATCTTCAAGAAGAATTGTGGGAAAGAATTGGAATTTAATATCAACAAGCAATTATGAATAATAAAAGTATGAACATAAATACTAGCAATGATACTTATAACTTGGGAACAATCTAGTTAGGATTTATATTTATATGGGTGATGTTATTATTTGAGATTTTGGATATTTCATATACATTTATAATGCATATTGTGAACATTGATCGATTTTAATATAGATATAGAGACATGGCAGATGGATAGGTTCTTCCTTGTATTGTAATGTTAGGGAAACCGGAAATGCCAGATGCTTACAGTGCGAAAATATTAGAAGCGAAAGCACAAATTAAGACATGAAAGACATTGAAAGGAGTAGATGAATACCTGTTCTTTGGTATATGTATTGTCTGTTATATAGCAGAAGTCTTCAACATTTGGAGGATTGATCTCTTCATACTTTCTACAGAACCCAATCAATATAGCAATGAGATTTATAACGAATGCCATAAATATGATCAAATAAAACAAGTGGGTTCTCGGTAATTACGATGCAAGAAGCATGCAACAAACACCAAGAAGCTGCAGCTTGCTTTTGTCAACAGCTTGCGAGGATAAGTATATGTCCATATGTGATATGGTGAGATATAGGGTGTCCGATACAAGCTTGTATTCTTCAGCAACCTCTACTAACCAATCCACAAGAATTTCTCGCATATAAGTGAAACTTAAAATGGAATCACCATTTTGAGCCTTTACGATGTTATTGGGCAGTACCTTCATGTGCAGTTCCATCTAATTCACGCAAGGAAATAATTAGTTGGATCAAATATATCGAAAGTTGAAAATCTTAAATCTGAGGATTATTATTTTGATAAAATAATGGGATTAAGAGTGGCATTGCTTTGTTTG